ACTTTGAAGCTTTCCTTTGTACACAGTTCCATAACCCCCCCTCGCCTAATTTCTCTTTGAATCCTCTTGTCATTCTCTTTATGTTGGAGTAATTATATCTGATTTGCATGAAATTGTTTTGTGTTTGCAAAAATCCTTCAATCGTATCATACATTGACAAATGCCTCCTTTTGAATTTGTACACCAGAAATGCAATTACTAACGGAAGGCCGATCACAATTTTTGCTCCCGAATACACTGCACGTTTGAGAAGTCATAACGAACCACAGAGATGATAAAACACATGATCAATGGAATGTTAATCTGCGTCCATCCAAATAACATATAGATTGCTAAAGGGATATATAAGAGCTTACACACGAAAAACAGAAGCAGCCGAGCGATATCTGGATAGATTAAAGTGCAAATATTTTAGATAAAAGTTTGAGTCCTCACCTAATTTGAATTCCAATAAACCTACAAAAATTAAACTGTAGTGAGTGAATGTTGAGAATATAATTAAATAATAAAAGTGTGCTCTCTCTAACCGCTTAAGTTTTTTGATGAAATGGTGATTCATTGATTTCCTAGTTTCTTACATATAGAGGATATAAAAGAATGTTACCCCACGAAGAATAAGAAAACCCATATCCGTAGAGAATTGCTTGATGAATATCAGAACGGGAAATGTTGTTAATATTAGGCCATGAGGTGAAGCCTATATATTCTGCTCTGCATCCATCACTCACTTCAGAGACTTTCATCTCTCCAATCTTTAAATAAGTGTATCTGCTTATTTTGCAGCCACTAATTTCCACAAATGTCGAATCATTAACAGCAGATGGACAGTTGAACATGAAAATAGGCGCTGCTACTCTACGCTCTGATGCGTAAAAGTATAACCCGAAGAAATAAATGTTATTGTAAAAGGTAGTAAGCTTAGAAGGTATGAGAGAACATAGATCATCTGTTTGTAAAGTCGGATCTACCAAGTGAATTGTCTGATTAATATAGTCGATGCCTTGAACGAGCAACTTCTTGGAGGATAACCATATAACTGTTTGGTTACCTTCACAAGCTAATTCAAATCCTAATAAATGACAATATTTTGGATCGGTGTTTAAATGAAAAGGGTGTCTTATGTTACGGATATCGCCACAAGCAGAATCAGGACAGTTGATCTTCCAAGCATTGGATGTTTAAGCTGAGAGTTTCCTTTAGACATTTGTGTATTACTCAGGTTCAGCTGAGACTTCACAATTATTGTTGAGTAAATGCAATTATTGAAGCTTTGTGAACTTTTCATTACCAATATTACTCCTTTGGGTCCCAAATCAATGGAAGACTTGTGTTTGGTCATTTAACTTTGACGTTTACCAATTTGTTAGTGAGGGAGATGGATATGTCATGTTTCCCCCACATGCCAAACACACCTTTTGCTCAAACTGTGTATTTGTGTTGAACGGTTGTGACTTTATATATTTATTTATACGCATAATACATAAATATGTCTTTTAACTTGACCTCATTTTATATTTATGTCCTCCAACTTAGGGTGTGCACAGGTATACACTTGAACTTGTGTAAACTCGAACAAATAGACACATGCGTCCATTTGGGTCCTATGTGTATTACATCACGTAGGACTCATGTGTCTATTTGTTCTAGTTTATAAAAGTTTAAGGACCCGTTTGGTTGGCGGTATTAGATAAAATAATCCATGGATTAAAATTTAATCCATCTAATACATTGTTTGGTTACTTTATTTAATTTAATCCATGGATTGCTTATCCACCATATGTGGTCTTATCTTATCCCTAGAAAATGGAGGGATAACTAATCCAAGGTTTAACAAACCTCGGATAAGATCCCTAAATGACTAAACTATCCCCTTATTCCTTTTCCTAAATTTCTTTTGTAATTTAATTTCCTTTTTATTTAAATTGAAATGGTTATAAATGTTCTTTTTTAATTCTCCAAATTCGTTTTGTGTAATTTAATGATTTCACTAAAA